CGGGCCCGGGGCCCGGCGCCGGGACCAAAAGCCCCGGCGTTGCCCCCGCGCCTCGCTCAGCCAGTGAGCGGGAGCCGGTCTGTACGTGGGATCCGAACCCTCGGACGGGAGCACCGCCGCGCCTCCCAAGCGGCGCACTATCCAGTGCGCCACCGGGCCGGCCCTCATTGCTTGTTTTAAGATGAACGTTGCTGATACCATAGCATCTATTAAGTCTTTTTCTGGTTTTGTTCTTAGAACAATTGTTGAGTTTCTTATTGTTGTTGAGTTTCTTATTGCAAATTATATCTGACCACAACAATATCAACTAGTCAAAGAGATAATACCAGGTATAGCCCCAACTTTACCATGAATGTATACCTTCTACTATTACTAATATTTCCACTGGAGTCAGCAAATTACAGCACACAGGCCAAATGTGGTCCACCACCAGCTTTTGTAAATAAAGTTTTATTGGAACACAGCCACACTTAGGTATTGTCTGTGGTTGCTTTCATACAACAGTGGCTGAGCCAAGTAATTGTGACAAAGACCTTATGACCCACAAAGCTAAAATATTTACTAGTGACCCCTGAACAAGAAGGATAAAATATGAATATTTTAATGGTCAATAAGCCAAGAATTCACTATCCTTCAAAAAACACAAATGGGAAATGGTAAAATCACCACACGCTTTCCAGAACATTTGCCTTATAATTCATAGTCAATAACTCTGAAGCTGTCTTTTTCTTACAAATGGACATAAATAGAACAGTTTTTAAGTAAAAAATGAACTCACTGTGGCTAGTTTCTGAACATCTCCATCTGATGCTCCCAGAGACGCCAGACCTATTTCTTGTGAAAACTGAGCAAACTTAGGATCCGCAAGTAGTGGAACATGTCCCAAGAGTTCATGGCATGTGTCTCTGACAAGAAAAACATCACAAAGATGTGTTATATAAGAAGCTGTAAACTACCACTGGTAGAACAACATCTAAAATCCTAAATGTAACCTTGTTGCTATAAGTAATTATAGTTACTGTATTTCATAAATTCTAAGACTTTTAAATCATATTTTAACATCTCTGAAATTTGGTTGCATCTTATAATGAATAGCATCTTAATTATGTGATATACAATATCTTAATAATATAAAAGCAATGACTATTTTCAAGTGCTTCCTATATGCCAAGCACATGTGGTTTTATTACATACATTATGTCTTTTAATCCTCAAGACAACCTTAGAGAATTAAAGTAACTCATTAGTGCAAGATCAGGAGTGGGCAAACTACAGGCCATGGTCCAATCTGGCCCAATGCCTGTTTTTGTAAATGAAGTTTTACTGGAACATAGCCAAGCACGTTCATTTATGCATTGTATATGGCCATTTTTTACTACAGTTGCAGAGCTGAGTAGTTGTGACTAAGATCATATGGCCTGTGAAGTCTAAAATAATTACCAGCTGGCCCTTTACAGAAAAGGTTTTCTGATTTTTGCTATAGATAGTGATGAAGCCAAAATTAGAATCCAGCTTGTCATGATTTTTAAACTCTTGCTCTTAACTCTTAAGCTTCACTGTACCCCTGTTACACTTTGCCAGACACTGGGAAACAGCAGAGGATTATATCACCATCATTAAAGTGGCTTTTCCCATAGACAATTTATCTTCTTTAACACAAGCAATTCCCTTGAGACAGCACATTGGAAGAATCTCTTAGTTCTCTGCTTTGGTTAGTCTGAACTAGGTGACAATAGAAGCTTGGAACCCCTCATTTGCCTGAGCTTCCCATTTGCAGCTGAATAAGTGAGCAAAGGACAGTTATGTGTCACAACAAAACAAGGCAGACGCCTTCCTGAGTCCTGCCATGAATAATGAACTGTTCCCTGATACCAACCTATATTGGAATGAATTCCCCTACAACTCTCTGGGAATGGATCAAGATGCAGCCGCATTTTATTTTCTTGACAAAAAACTGATTAGCCAAGTAGTAATTGAAAGATGTTTCTGATTTCACCTGTGCTCCTCTGAAGTGAATCACTACAAATAGGTGGTATAATACAAAGGCCAGGTGCTACCTCCATTATTACAAGTATGAAGTAGGTTGGACGGTCATATGGTTGAAACAATTGAATGGTGGTCAAGGACACCAGATTGATACCCACATAAAAAGATGGCATCACTCAATCAGAAAATCTTGTCCCTACAACTCTAACCACATCCCCAATCTTTGCCAGCCACTTTGTAGACACATCAGGTTAAAAGGGCAGCCAAGTAAGAACATGTGGACAGGATACTGAAAGAAACTCCAAATTCACCCCTTGTCAAGTGTGTGCCAATAGCTTCCTTTTTTGCACATAGTTGAATTTGTAGAAAAGAATATGTGGTGGTTATTTTCCAATCACATTGCTTAAATGTGATTCAGAGAATCAGAGTCACTGAATTTTAGGGAATAAAAGATATTTAAATGTTATCCAAGCTGCATGTTTTACCACAGAAGAAATGAAAGAAAGAAGGAAGGGAAAGAGAGAGAAAGAAAAAGAAAGAATATACTGAGCTCCTATTATGTTCTGGGTACTTTACTAAAATATTTTCATATCATATTTATAATTTAATCTTCACTTATAAAGAAACTTTATTATTTCCACTTGATAAATGAGAAGACTAAAATTCAGTAAATTTAAGAATATTTTTCAAAGTCACACCTTTAGTAACAGAAACAGATTTGAAATTAAATGCTTCTGAATCCAAAGTTACGCTCTTTCTGTTCTCTGTTTTAATTTGCAGATGTAGCATAAACAAGAAGGGGTGCAGGTGAATGACTTGGGCTGTAGAGAGAGAGTTTAACCAAGTTGGTTGCACAAGTAAAAATTCAGTTAGTATGTCCTAAGTCTTTTTTCCTGCCCCTCAGTGATTCTCAACCCTCCAAATCACTTAAGGAGCATTTTTAAAAATATTCAGTGGCTGGGCCCCACCTAAGACCAATTCCATCAGGCTTTCTGAGATAGACCTGAGCGTCTTTTTTTTTTTAAAGCTCTCGAGGTGATGATAAGACACAGCCAGGGTTGAGACGCGCCGTCATAACTGGTGATGCTAGAAACTCTCCTAGCAGGCTTCAAGCAACTAGTACTTAAAACTAAAGCTGAATGTTATTATGTAATTTTGAACTCAATACTGGAGACTATAGTGACCAAAAGTTAGTAGGTAACTAATTACCCCTTCACGTGCATTTGATTCAGTTACAGGTTGAATACTTCTGTGCCAGGCGTGAATCCTAAGAGTGGACTCACTTGTGATCAATTTTTTAAAGGGTCATGTGGGCTGCACCACTGTTGGAATTAAGATCAAGTAGCCCATTGTGGAAAAATCTGAATACTCCCATTGCAGTCCATCATGTAAATACTAAAGCACCACTACTGATCCAAGCAGAAGACGTGGCAACAATAATTCCAAATTAGATCAGATGTCAAATTCCAGGAAAATACTGAAGATTTTCACTCACAGTATGAATAAACAAGGGAAGCAGAAACTATAAAAACAATTATAGGAAATGCTTACTATGGGCCAGGCACTGTGCTCCGTGCTCACAATGTAAGAAGAGAATAGGGTAGATTGTGGCTATATTGGTGGTAGATTCTTGGTGCAACATTGGATTTACTTTCGAGCTTGTTAAAAACTTGAAGAAGGTTGATGCGGAAGACAATCTTCTATCTACCTAGGTACTAATGGACTCCAAAAGCTTATTGGTACAATGTAAAGCAAAAAGCAATTTAAAAGGAAAAAGGATGAAAAATATTAGAAATCCAAAGAGTTAAGGAGTCAATTCTCCTCGGCAAAATAGGAGCCATTACTTGGATTTTAAGTTAAAGGGTAGTTATCAGAAACCTATAACTCACTAGCCAATTTAAGAACCTTTAGTAGCATCACAATGACAAAGCCATCCAACTATACATAGAAGAGGATAAAGAAATTATAAATTTGAAAGAAAAAAATCATACAGTACAGCAGAGTGAGTTATACTGTTTCATTAAGAATGAAAGCCTGAAGCAAGATGTCTAATAGAATTATTTATGGAACATTAGGGATGTCCTTTGCTCTAAGTAGGAATGACCATTCTGTATTTTGCTAGTTTGTGCTCTCCTCTCAGCTCCAAGCAGAAACCCCAAGAAAGAACTGCCCCCAGACCCCTGAGCAAAATGTGAATGCAGTATGTAATTATGTACAGTAATCTCATTTCTCATGGGGCCAAGGCCTTAAGCACCTGTATTTCAAGACCAGGAGCAAGGTTATTATCTTTTACGTCTTTGTTGGAACATTCTCAGAAATAAACCCTGTATTGTTCACTATCCCACAGTCTTTGGCTAAAGCAAGTATAGAGAAAGGAAGGTGAAGTGACTGGAAACTCTTCAACCAAAGAGCAAAGAAAGATCTTTAACGTTACTAATAAAAGCAATTCATTAACTTTGAAAATTTTACATGTTGTTTAGATTCTCTGAGGCCAAACGACCAAAGGAGTTGACCACCACTTTTGCAGGCTTAGAGAAATTTCAGGCTATGGGGAGTCTAAAGGAGAATGCAGACCACAAAGCCTTCTGTCCAACCTTTGTGCCAGTTTAGGTCTATTGGGCTGAAATTATGCTATTTCACCCTAATTTACAAAGTGTAAACACCACTGCTGCTGTGTCCTGCATGCAAAGTCAAGATTGTTATGGTGGCTGTATCATTCACAGCTGGACCCGAGTATCTAATTACAAACAGGTTTCTGATGTGAGTCCACAACTGTTGCCTTATCTTACAGATCTCTCTTAAAAGATTCAATTATTTGGCCATAATTGCACCTGTCAGCACATGCTGCTTCCAATCTGTACATCGGCAAACTTTTCTCTTTTTAACTCCCATCCCTTTGATGCATTTTCGCCTGAATAATGCTTTTCAGAGCTCTTTTCACAAAAGCTCTCTGTTCACTGGAAATGTAAGACCTTTCAAAACTGTTAACACTGTAAAACATCATGTCTCCTTTTAAGAAAAAAAGCTAGAGCTGATATCAGACACTAAACTTTTACTGCTCTAAATTGGAATCTTCTCTGATAAACCCTGTTGGGGGATTCTAAAACCTGTCAAAGTAGGACCACAAAGGGGCCTGGGCAGAATGTCTCCAGGGAATTCTTAAATCATTCTAAGAAAGTTGCAAGCATTTTGCTTCGGGGGTGGCTGTTAAGTTCAAATTCAAAATGAGTCTGGCATTTTTTTTCCTCTTACCGGTTTTCAAAGCTGAGTCCTCGTGTTCTGTGTTGAACAACTCCTTTTTATTTTTGCTGTAAATTAAAGCCTTTAAGAGGCAGTGAGTGAGCAACCAGTATTTGCTTTCCCATCCCAAGTCAGTGCATCTGTCTTTTAAAACATATTTCTATAGGATTTGTTTGTTCTAAATGACACAGAAGGCAACACATTAGCTAAATCATGAAGAGAAGGGAAGGAAGGTGAGTGGGAGAAGTGGAGAGTTTGCATTGATAAAAAGAAGCAGGAGAAAGAGCTTGGAGACAAAACAGTGTTGCTGGTTTTGGGGGGTTTGGGGAGGGTTGTTTGGTTTTTTTCAGCTTTCACACATTTGGTGGGTAAATGCAAGTAATCTGGGATAACACACCAGGACACGTTGCAGGCAGGTGACTTTGTTTTCACTGCGCTAAGATGGTGCAGGAATTAATTTGGTATTGAGGTAATTTGTTCTCAGTACTTGCTTTGGAGCCATATATGGAGTTTCCATAGTTTAGATTTAAAATAGCATACTGTAAAATCTCGTCCAGGTAAGCTCTTAGGTAGCTCATATGATCGCACCCTCTTATATCCCTATCACAGTATAGATAAATACAAGTGTGGCCCTCTTTTTATGAAGCCGAGCTCCTAGATGTTGCCCTGGAGGAAACCT